GGGGGGGGGGGGGCTCCCCCGGGGGCACAATGAAGCTCGGCAGAGCCCGCTTCCATTTTTCGAATCACCCGTTGGCACGGTATAAGCGCCTTAAAGTATTCGCGGAGATCTGATCGTTCTGTTCGTTGCAGTTGCGTGCATCGATAAGGGAAGCGCGCGGCGCCGCCGTCGGCGGCGCGGAGCGTATTCGTGCATTCGTCATACGGGATAAATTCCGTGGCGAGAGATTTATAGCGCGCGGCCTTATCGAAATTTCGTGGACGCGCGCGATAAATACAATTCACCTGTCGACGTCGCGCTAATCGTTTTGCGGCCTCCAGCGGAATAGTTCCGAAAGAATCGGGTCGTCGCGTGCGATCCGACGCCTCGTTCATCGTCGGCGTGACGATTGATCTTGCGTGCGACTTCTCCGGCTATCGCGGATAAAAGCCGTTGAAAAATCTACTCTTACCCGGCGCGAGCGAGCCTCCTTAACGCGGCGACGTTCGTCGAACGGCGTTCCAATTATTGCACCATCACTCGACACACGTTCGTGATTATGCGTCGTGCATGCATGGCCCGCATGCATATTCAGTCGGCGATGTGATAGAGACGTTGCTCGCCCCATAAAACACATTTAGTCTGTATTCCTCTCTTTGCTTTACGTAGCCGGCGGTTCGAGGAATACTCGTACGACGGGAGCGTGGGCGAGCGCTCTCGAGGGGGTTGAAAGGAGGGCGCAGGAAAGGGTGGTAAGTTATTGCATAATAACAAGCCAGTGCTCGGGTATCCTTGTTACTCATTTTTCGCCCCGTAGGTGTATTACCATACTGTTTAATATAGAATAGGCCACCCGTGGTACAATCGGATGTGTGTGTGTGTGTGTGTGTGGGTGGAACCGTGCCAGTGGGCAAGCCGTTGGCAGGTGCGCGAGCCTCTCGAAAGGTGTGGGTTCGTGGCTGGAAAAAAACCGTCCAGCCCGCAAGCCCGCGTACTTGCACATGCAAAAGCATGCAAAACAATAACCACCCCCTCGCACACAGTCCGTCGGCTGGCGCGCGGTTGACCACGTTAAGACGCTAAATTCACCCTCTCTCTCCTTCGGAGAGCGCGTTGCCGCGCGTTGGCGCATGCGGTGCGCCAACAATTGCTCTGCACTTGACACAGTTCGCGTGGATTGCGGAATTTTGATTCCGACGGTGATGTTAACAAGAGAGAAGGGGAGAAGAGTGGTCGCAACTTTTCCCGTATGTTTTATGCATCGCTGAGCGTTTTGATTCGCCCGCGGTAACGGCGAATCGCGGCGGCCAAGTTTCAGGTCCGCGGTTGTTGCTGCGCTTAAAAATCTCTCCCGGCGAGAGACGGTCGTACGGCCGCGACCCTGTTGGGAGGCCGATTGTATCGCGTCGGGAAATACGTTTTTCCCCCATTTACCGGTTTGCCGAGATTCGTAAGATTCGTGAGATTCGACGCGCGAGCTCGTCTCGTAAGCGGTAAGGCGAGCGCGCGAGGAAGCAGAAATTTCAGGACGAGCGACTCTCTTTCGCGATCGATACCTTCAAGCGAAATGTAAGAGCGACGATTTTAGCATCGAAACATCGCGTATTCCGACGCGGAAATTATAATGTATCTATTCACGTAAACGTCGCAAACGACTGCTCCGTTTCCTTTTACGCGCCATATGCGTGGAAACAGAAACGAAGAGCATCCGTACTTATTATAAAACTTCACGTGGGGGGAGGGGGGGGGGAATTATTGCGTAAGGAAGCGACGCAACATTTGCAATATTGGATCATCATAAGCAGCAATATCGAGAGTCGCTCACGCAGATGTTGATAAGTGAAAATTCGGCATTCGCCGTGTCATACGTTGCGGCAATAGAATTTTATCGTGAACGATGCGCTGGAAATGTTTCGCTTTGTGCGTTGCGTAAATTCGAGACGAGCGAAACCGACGAATGCGAGGGCGCGCATATTTCAGGCGACGACCGGAGTCGAAATTTTGATGCTACTCACAAAGATAGCTAGACGCCTACTTAGGGCGGCCTATTGGCTAATAAAAACCTACTTTGACCTATAGTGATACTTTTTAACCTCTCTCTCGAACCTTTAATTCTACAGATTGAATTTTAACTCTTTAAGGCCCAATGTACATAATAATAATAACATTAACTTCGAGCCTAAAAAAAAGTTACATAAAAAATGTCCTTTAAGATGATCTTATAAATTGCAACACTTTACTCCAATGTGATCAATGTAAGCCTTAAAGGATTAATGCTACCTTCAATAATTTATTTTGACGCTGAAACAGCGAAATCAGAAATTCAATGCATCATCAGGGTCACGAAAGAAAGTTGTATTATATTATTAAAATTGAAATTGAATCTAGTTTGCTATCTTAGCTCCATGTTGTAGAATTAAAAGATTAACATAGGGTATTAAGTTAAAGTTGAACTAAATTTTTCGACTCGGGGAAATATGTCAGAAATACATCCAGTTCTTCCAAACTAATGGAATTGAGATTCCGCTTTATAATTAATACAAATTAAAGTAATCCGCGACGTTTCAGCTATTTCGGCTCGTTAATGTGCGACGAAGGCAACCGGGGATCGTTTTGTTCGGGAATATCTTAGCGATCGGATAAATCAGTCGCGATCGATCACCGACGGGTAATTGCAATCGCGCACGGAAAGTAGAAAGCAGAGTTCCGTTTGTGCCCCGTGAGCTTGAATAAGCGCGTAACAACGGAGCGTTTGCGTCCTCATAACGCGTAACTTCGGGAATGAAGACTCATTTCTTTGCTCATGCGATTGTATAAAAGTGAGTTTGCCCGTCCGCTCGACGTTGCGCGAGCTACAAAGGCGAACGACGCGCGTTGTCTCCACAGATTCGTTCAGGCTTTCGCGTCGCGAATCGAGTCACCTCGCGCGGAGTTCGTAGATCGCTACGGTCGATCATTCTCCCGTCGGTATCTTTCGGATCTGATCTCCGACTGATTTATTCGTCTTGGAAAGTATCTATAAGTAGGTATCTATCACGGTTAAGATAAGGCGGGCTTGAGGCACGCCGGTACGCCGAGTTGCAGGCACCAATCTACTACGTTTCGGTCGTAAGTCATGCTGATGGGACGGTTCAATAATTAACTTCGCGAGGAAATCGGTTATCGGGACGATATTATTCGGGCTCTTACTTCCCAGTAATAACCGGGCAACCACCACAGCCACCGTCACCACCCCACCATCCACAGCTTCGCCACTCTCGCTCTAAGAGGGAACGACGATCCAGCCGCCTCACTTAGGGGATTCAATTTAGATGTAAAATTTAGAATCGTGCTCGCCTCGGTCCTTCCGCTTCTCTTTTGGCTTTCAGAGTACGAATATCACATTATTATAATAGACCGTCGGTAATGGCTCGAAAATAAAGAATACCGGGTAATGGGGAGAGACGCGAGCCGCGGGCGAAAGAACGAACACAAAGACGGAACGTGACGCGTGGATGTCGCGAAATCGTTCTTTCCCCGCTACCCCCGCAGCGACTACAAGTAAATCTCGGCTGACTACTCGCGCAACGAACGACGATAAATTCCTCGTATTTACTTCAGATAACAATCATGTTGTCGGGATATCAGGTGAGAACTAAATAAAACAGAATATTGCGACGTGAGATACCGCAGGTAGAAATTTAGCGGACTAAAAAGAAACGTTTTGCAGTATGCAAATGGTGGGAAATAGCTTGCCATCTGCAAACAGATTAAGAAGTCTGACTATCAAATCAACTTTTTAAATAGTTTCAAAACTTAGAGTCTTGATCATTTTTAAGCTACGATTCGGATGAAACGTGAGGTTGTTTAAACGTATCCAAGAATATTCGCTTATATCGTGCCGTGCATAAAAGGAAATAATCTATCATATATCTGCCATAGCATAAATAGAATCTCCGTATCGGAGAGTTTCGGCAAACTTATGAATTCTTCATTAAGAGAAGACTCGGTGAACGTGGAGCTGACTGTATTTGACCGAAAAGTGAGAGATATTTCAAAGTTCGAATAAAATCCCGTTGGAAATAAGTATTTGAGTTTTAGAAAAAAACATTTCATCGCGACTCGCGAAGTCACCGAGCCTTCAATTCACACCGATGTCGAGGCCATCGCCGTTCCTCTTTATTCGGCATTTTGGCATCCGTGATTCGGAGGAAGCGCGAGTCCACTGAAACACTCTGCACAGTCGACTAAAACTAACTTATTTCTCCTATTTGTCCTCACCCTCGTCGCCTCTCGCCTACTGAAGTCACTTTCCAGATTGCCAGCCAGTCCTGTTTCGTACCCGTCTATACTTCAGCAATCTAACGACCCTCACATGGAAATGACCGGCGCAAGAAGTGCGGCAAAAAAGTATTAAGCGCTCTCTTACCTGAAGTTGACGCGCGGACAATAGTATCCCTGACGCCGAGTACAAAAAGCTCTGGCCGTTGTCCGCGTGCCAGCTTCAGGTACGGGCATGCACTTTTTTGACCCGCAACGAGCACACGTAATCCGTAACTGCGAACTACGTTACAGAGCTTTTTACTTTCTAGCGCGTAGGACCGAGACGGAGAAACTCATCGTCGTTATACGTCGCCAAGTTATTATTGGTTTGAACGTTCGGATTAAAATTCCGGGATGTAACTCGCTTAACGTGTAATTCAAGTCGCGCTCTGTGCGCCATTTACGCTGTTCCGGACGGACCTGATGTTTCATGAATAATTGTCGATTCTCGCCACGACATTGAAGAAGCACAGACATCCGAGCAATATTACTTTGCCGTTCACTCTCGTTGTTTCGCGTTCAAGAGCGAAATTAAATGTTAAATATGATACACCTATCAATTTCTCGACTGCTGTTGCGATAAACGAATATTAAACAAATATCGCTCGTAGTTCCGCAGCGCGAATTTAGAGTGTACACATTTCGAAGCTGCCGCGTCTAGATTCGATATATTTGCTTTACACGTTAGAATAAAATTTGTATTTCACTTGCAAATTGCCGATACTGTTCATGAAATGAATATGAAGTTGACTGTAAATTTCTCCGATACTTCTTAAAATAAGCAAAAACCGCAAACAAGCATCTATTAGTCCGATGTATTGTTTTGTATAATGCAGTTTAGTAGCTATATTTATCATTTGGTTTCATTAATTGGACTATTGAAATGATTAAATAGAAAATTGATGGCAATAAATATATAAATATATTTGCTCCCGCTTTTATAACGCGTCTCTTCAAATATGAGAGCTAATTTAAAGTTCGAAATAGTTTAAAGTTGCGATAATAACGTTTAATTTACTCGACACGTTGAATATTGGAGAGGGGGGAGGGGATGGAAGTCCGTGTCTATTTAAATACTTTCATAATACTCGGAACACTGTTAAAATGAATCATATTGTATCTTCTGAAATAAAAATTACGTTATGAATTACAATTACTTTTAATGTATACATTATTTTTTATATTGGTAATAATTTCACGGGTTATTTAATAACGTAAACAAATACTGTATTCGTTACGGCATACGCATTTATGCAGCAACAATTTAAGAAATATACGATATACTCGTTCTTATCGCGCGATAGGAAAATAAGTTTAATAATTAGCGTGGACTAATAATGGATTTCTTGCGGATGCTATTTCTGTTGCAGCACCATTGTCGCAATTGTGGGAACATTTTCTGTAACGCTTGCAGCGACAATACTACAGCCTTGCCGAACTCAACGAAGCCGGCGCGCGTTTGTGACGAATGTTACGTGTTTCTGGTTAGTCGTTACCCGGTGGCGCGTTAATACCTCGCGCGTTTTTATTTTCCCGCAAGCAACCCGTATAACGGAGATTTCAACCTGATGCATGGTCTCGGGTGGAAGAAGAAAGAAAAAAGAAAAATAAAATAGAAGAGGGAGAGAGAAAGAGAGAGAGAGAGAGGAAAAGAACGGAAAAAGGGAGCGTGAAGGAAGAACTGAGAGTTGACAGAATCTGTCCGAAAATATAGCCTTTGAATGCGTCTCTCATTTATGGTACGTTATGCGTAACCATTTATCGCAAATTGAACGTATGCGATGACGAGCGAGCCAATCTGCCGCGAGCGATGTTTCGTTCCCGCTTTGGTTCCTCTTTTTCCCCTTTTTTTTATTTACGAAAACGCCCACGATATTCTAGAGTTTGTACGAGTTGGTTTGAACGAATGTACAATTTTTGCGACTTTATTCACAACGTAATTCTTAATAACTTTTTAAACAGTCTTACAAATAATCGACAAAAGTGTACGACCGGTGGAGTTTATTTATTCCTTTCCACTCGATTTGGTCGTAGAATAAGAACGTCCGTTTCATTTTGCACAACAATTACAATCGGCTCATTTAGTGCGGCGAGTGAAAAGACTCTATCGATCGGTTACGAGTCCAAAATATTTACGATACGTAAACACTTGTTGGCACACGAGAGTTTTGGGAAAAGAAAAAAATTTAACCGTGCGCGCTTTGTTTCCAGTAGCGTTTGATGGTATCGTTTCTCGTTTGTTACGCTCAGCTTGAGCGCAGTAAGACCATACGTAAGCGTAAGATTGTGACTCAGTGGCGATTTGTGAAGTAACGAAACTGCAGTTTTGCTTGCAGTGTCCAAACGCGTGCCTGTACAACGATATTTTTAAGATATTCTGTACCGTCTGAGAGAGATTATACGTAAATAAATGAGATGGTTTTCTAAATCCTGTGTGCTGTCATTTATTCCAGTATATTCTGAATACCACGGTGATGCACGCCGTACACAGTAAAAAGTAGAATGTTAATTTCACAGGTCTCAGAAAACCCACTCTAAATTTTCTATCGAAACAACTCGTTCGCTGTGCGTGACTTATTCACAAATTGAACATGTTAACAACGTAACGAAATGAAATGTAAACAATAGCGTGATAATTAACTAAATGTAGGTCGCACAACGTCGTCCTCGGCGGTCGTAATTTACCCCCAACTATGACGACCGCGCGAGGGCCTCGTATTCCTTTATTTCTCTCTTCGGGAATAATTCCGTAAAGAATCTTTATTTTTCACCACGAATCGCGAGGGATCTTCCTGAATACGCGGAAGCCACATGCGCCGAGAAATTAATCACGACTCGAATGTCGTGAAATATTTGCGCGACTACCGACTCTCGTGGCGCGCGGCCGAGCCGTTGATTGAATCAGCGTAATATCTGACGCACCTGCCGTACCTGCTCTATCAGTGGCATCGATCCTTCGGCCGGAACGAACGAAAAAGTGAAGCGCTACGGCTTCTTCTTGCACGAAAACCGCTCGCGGAGAAAAGCGCCGGCCGTAATGTGTAATCTACCTGCCGAAGGTAAATCCGTTCGCCTCAGGTGCATACCTCCCTTTCTCTCTCTTTCTCCTCCGCTCTTTTTCCCTTCCTCCCTTCCTCACTAATCTCCGCGACTGCGAGCACACGCTATCCCGTCGACTTCTCTTTCTCCCTTTCCGCCGTTGGAAAAGCAGTAAAACAGCCCGCGGGCTGCGCCCTCCTCCATCGCTGTTCTTATCCTTCCCAGACGTTAACAATGCCTACCACCTACAACCTACGGTCGCCACCCCACGAGGGGCCCCAGGAGTGGCTGCCACGTGAAGCCGAGCCGCCACGCGCCCGCGTTTCAACGTGTATGCGTGTTACGTCCACGGATGAGGGGAGTTAACGGTGTCGTGTTACATGTATGCTCGCGGTGCACGCTGCCTGACTGCGGTAAGTTCTGCCGGGTGGTTGTGAGCGACTGCCCCTGGTAGGCCAACTTGTCGGATATCTACGACTTTCGAAAGCTCGTTAGCCACGAGCGTGCACGCTTAAACGGCCGCTAAATTGAAATCGATCCTCGGCCGCTTCGATCCGCCGCGGCCTCGACGATTGGCGCGAATATCCGTTTTCACCTGCGCCCGCTCGGCCTGTGTGTACCCGCTCCCGAGGTATGTACCTAGCACGAGTGTGCACGCGACAATTGTGCTCGAATGGGCCGCACTCGTTGCAACCTGGTTCCGCGGACGAGTCCGCGAACTTTAACTTAACGTCACTCGTAATGGCGCCCTCGGCTGTGTACGAGCGCGTTCGCTAATCGCGGGGGATTAGATTGAATCGGGGAGATTGTAGCTTAGCTTGCTGGGAAGAATTCGGTAACGCTTTCATGCGCAGAAAACGACCGCGTGATTGTTTTTCTAATCAAGGGAATTATTCATATTTTCCGTTCGATCGCTTTTTAACCGACAGGTTTTTTCCTTCCGCAAATTTGTAAATTACGTTCAGTCCTGCTTACAGATGTTCGAATTTTCCGACTATTAAGGTGATAAATTAGTTTCCGCACATACGAGTCGTGCGATCGATCAGCTGCGCGCTAATCACGCGGATCGCGAGCATCGCGATGCAGCGAACGCGGCCGGGTTATGATAACGTTCGCGATCGGGAATATCGCGCCGCGTTAGAGGCTGAAAATAGGCGCGTGTATAGTGTCGTGATAGCGGATCGTTACAAATCAACTAACGGCCAGAAAAATATATTCGCAAAATACTTTCGTAAAGACGGGGATTACTAACTATCCGTCCCGAAATGACGAGTCAGCTCGGGTATGATCATGCAAATAAAATAATGCACTACGCCGCGGGACATTAATGATGGTATAGCGTGTCTCACGAGTCGTGGAACGCGGTGCCAAGATCATGAAGGTAAAGTTGCTTTTACAGTAGAATCACTGACACGCGAAGTGATTCGGTCGCACGTTCTTATATTGCATT